CAGGAGGATGGCTTGCCACCCATTTCACATCCTTGGCAACTGTTTGCTGGGGGCTCTAAATGGCATAGCCCCTCCAGAACCAAATTCAGGAGGATCTTTCAAGAGACACAGACCTGTTTATAACATCTTATCTAGTAATAACCACTTTTTGGAAATCTATCCTAAGAAAATTATACTATAATACTTCATGCCCCGTTCATCAACACTGTACATAATGTGTTATTTAGAAAATAAGTCACAAAAAGAGAACTTCAAATTTGTGACATGTATATAAAAAAGTTACACATAGAAAACCTTATTTATGCAAAGAATACTGAAGTGTGAAAATGTGGTTGTGTCTTGATGTATAACTGGATTATAATTCTGTAGTTTATTAACAGTTACTAAGAAAATTTTTTCAAGTAAATGAGCCCTGGCCGGGTGGTTCAGTTGGTTGGAGTGTCATCCGTAAACTGAAAGGTTGTGGGTTCGATCCCCAGTGGAGGCACATAAGGGAGGCAATCAACCAATGTGTTTCTCTCATATTGATGTTTCTCTGTCTCTCTCTCCCCCTTCCTCTATCTTTAAAAGTGATGAAAAAAAAAATGTCCTCAGGTGAGGACAAAAAAAGTGAATGTAAAGTATATGAAAACGTAGTAGGAGTGCTTACTACGAATGAAGTACTTACTGTTAGGCTCTTTCACACAGGTGAGCTCCAGGCCTTTCAACAGTTCCAGGGGGAGGCACTATTACCTCATTTCCTGGAAACCAAGGTTTAGTAAACTTCTCAAAAGGGGCTGAGATTTGGTTTTTGCCAAGGGTCCTTCTGCCTGTGAACATAACCACATTCTTGGGCTGGGACTCAAGTATCTGAGACTATTAGAAAGTTTTTTAACCTTCCTTGATTCCTAAAACTTGAATATACTTAATATTATTTGTTTAGTGAGGGGAAGAAAGAAGAAACCTAACAAAAACTATGTTAAAATTCTAACAAACTACATCTGTGGCTCCTTCCAGGTCTGACGTCAATTCTGGGTGCACAGTGAAAATTCTTTAAGAAGAGGTGTAGGGGAGAGTTGAATAGTTTAGTTGTTCCCTTGAGAAAAAAAATCAGCACAACTTTTAGACCTTGCTGGGATGAGGTCAACACTGTTTCCAAGGCCTTCAAGATACATGTACTTTTGGCCCAGAAATTCCACTGCTGGGAACTTTCCCTTAGGAAACACGACCAGATGTAAAGACATTAGAGCAAACTGATAAGGGAAACTCTAAGGTCCAAAAGAGAGCAGGAAGTATAACTATAGCCACATACACAAAGAGGTAAATTACCAGCAACCCCAGTTTCCAACCCTAGAAGGCTAGTGAAGTAAATGAGGACACAGCCACACACCTTAAAGATGAAACTGAGGGCTTTATTTATAGATATGGGAGGACATTCATGATATATTAGAATAAAAACAATCTTTAAAACAGCGTTAACAGTATGATATTATTGCATAAAAACACATTTATCTTATTTACAGATCTATGCAGAGGAAAAAATGCAGCAAGTATATCTAGGAGAGGGAAATACAAACATTCAAAGAAAAAAAATGTTATTTTCTAATCTTCAAGGACTACGCTTTACCTGCATAATCACAAAAAATTCTTAAAACATGAGTGTTTCTAAAGAAAAAAAGAAACCTGACTAAGAGCAGTACCCAAACTGTCAGATATGTGAGGAACTGGGTACGAGGAGCAGGGAGGCAGAAAAGCACTAGCACTGGAAGCCATGGAGAGAGGGGCAAGGAAAGCAGCACGCCAAGAGCCCAAGGAACAGGCTGGGCATCCATCTCGCGGTCAGGCCAAGTGTGTAAAGTGTGGAGGCAGCATCTTCCATGTGTTCCCGATAGTCCCAGGTGACAGGCTGGTTAACTAAGTATCCCTGTTGTCACTGCTGCCGCGTGCGGCAGGAAAGAAGCATTGGAATGACGTTAGTTAAGGCAGATGTTTCCTGGCTTTCTCTAGCTAAGGCTCCTCAAGAATCCTGAAACCCAAGCCTAGGGTCCTCACCCATTCCTGTCAAGGAGTCTTTACCACCTCTTAAATCGAGTGTCTGAAGACCAGGCTGGAGTGATGGAGTGATTTAGAGAGAAGTCTGGAAGAGGTAGGTGATGAAAGGGGACTACTGCAGCTGGCCCATGAAGAATCCAGTGATGGTGGAAACCCTGACACCTCATTGCCGGGGACTGGGGCAGTGGCCTGGAGAATGACCTCAAAAGACTAAGCCTCTGGGAAAAGTCAATACCATGTGTCTCCTGATGGGATCTGATATAAAACACACAAAACCACCTAGGAGGTGTTCTTGCCAAAGAAGTTTAAGGTCAGTCTAAGTCTCCAGAGTTTAGAGCTAAATTCTATTGACAAAAAATACAGAGGAGAAAGGAACAAGCTTAAGGACACCACAGAAAGCAAGGAGATTTAGAGTGGGGTACATTCTACAAGACAGCTGACCCAGTTTCTTCCGGCATAACTTGCATCATCACACAAAGCTTGAAAGGAAAAAAATATGAGTGCCAGAATGATGGTTGCCAGGACTAGGGGGAGGGGGAAGCGGGGAGTTATTGTTTAATGGGTAGAGAGTTTTCATTTTGCAAAATAAAAAAAGCCTGGGGATCTGTTGCACAATGTGACTATACTTAACACTACTGAACTGTACACTTAAAAATGTTTGAGATGATAAATTTTATATGTTTTTTTAACCACAATTTAATGGTAATGGGGAAAATACAATAAAAAATAAATAAAATAGAATTGTGACAAAAATTTAAAAATAACATTATTTTACAATGATTGCTTCTAAACTTAAAAAATTAATCCTGGATATAGGAAATTACCAAAAATGTTAGACATATTAGGAACTGGGTGGGAAGAGGAGGGAAGTATATCTCTACTTTATTGTCAGAGTCAAGCAAGACATTAAAAAACTGAGGGGAGATTGCTTTAGGCTAACAGAAACTCAAGAGATTAGACAACCAAATGCAATCTGTGGACCACGTTTGGATCTGGATTCAAATGAGCCAACTGCAAAAACACAAAACAAAAAACCAACCATCTTAGAGATGATCAGTGAAATCTGATTATGGTCTGGGTAAAACCTTTTGTTTGAGATGACTTAAAATTTTCCTTTTTGTCCTGGCTGGTTAGCCCAGCTGGTAGAGCATCATCCCAACACAACAAGATTGCAGGTTTGATCCCCCATCAAGGCACATAAAAGAATCAACTAATAAATGCACAAATGAGTGGAGCAACAAATTGATGTTTCTCTCTCCCTCTCTTTCTAAAATCAATAATTTCTTTTTCCTTTTCAAGTAGAGGTACTGAAGTTTAATAAAATGGAGATAGGGCAATTGAAAGAAAATATATCCAGGTAGAATGTAGATTTAGCAAAAATGGCAAGGGGAGAAATGAAACAACTGAGGCTAATAATGAGCCCCTGAAAATAAGCAGATCTCACATGACAATGATGAGGTAGAAACCATCCTAAAGGCAAGAAGGGGGGTTGTGTAGTGTAGCATTCATTTGGCTGGTATAGACTCTGACAAATCATATTTGTTCTTAATTTCATGACTTTGGAACCACTTATCATAGATCAACCTCAAAAATGGCTGGATGAGGAAAAGCGGGGCAGTGAATAGCAAAAGCAACAACCCCCCCTCCTAGGTGAGGAATCAGGTCAGGGAATCCAGGCCCAGTGTTTACTACGGGTCTTTGTATTTGACCACCATTCAAGCCAGTGATGGAAAGCTTTTGACACTATAGCAACATGCTATGAAAGAGATTTTTAGTGCAATTGAGGCCTCCTACCTTTAAAGAGTGAAGTATGCCCAGCATAGGATTAGATTTTAGGTGAAGTTGGTCATGCTGATGATGCAAGAACCCAAGAAAGCAAAAGTATTGCTTCCAAATGAAAAGTTTAAAAAGGAGAGAAAAGGAAAAGAATAAACCCCAACCCCTCAAACAAGCAACTACAGACAACTACCAAAAAAAAAAAAAAAAAAAGCCACATGATCAGTAATAGCTTTATAATCTAGAAGAGTTTAGCGAATATCTACTTCCCTGAATTAGTGTCTCCAAACGTCATCGTCTAATCCTAACCATTAGAGAAATGGATATCAACACTTCACCTTAAGAAAGATTTTGGACCCTCTGATACTATAAGTGCCCTCATCTGATTTAATGTGAAACAAGAGCGGTACTTAACAAGAAAAGTGCTGCAGTCAGCATAGTACTGTGCCTTTTCTTTAGAGAGAATATGGCAGGAATAAAAAAAAAAAAAGAAAGAAAAACAAAACCCAAACAACTGGATTCAGTTTTCTACTCTATTACTTACAACCTAGGTCAAATCAACAGACAGCTTGGGATTTCAAGTTTGCTTTATCTGTACAATGGAATAAATATCCTCGCTAGGTACACTAAAACATTTCTTAAAAGATCAAATAATATATTTGGCAATGTTTTGTGCATTATGAGGGACTATGTAAATATATTACCAACTGCATCAGCTTTGCGGATGAGTCTATACGAGTACTCCTTGAAAATCTTTTCAGCATGCCCTGGTCTGACACAACCCCTGTGGTGAAAATGTTGTATGTAAACACTTCTATAGAAACTCAGGCAACAGATCAACTGCCTGGAACCAAACTGCTGGTCATGAGTTTTTTTGCGTCAGGGTGTCAAAATCAAGGTTCTCTCTTCTATGAATACCACCAAAGAATGGTGAACTCTACTAGCCCCTTCCCTATGCAACAAAAATATTCTTTGTGAGGTTTTCGGCTTGTGTGACTACTGATGAATGTGTTAAACTTCCTTTTACAAGAAGATTGTTGCACATTCTTATAACCATTCCCTGTTTTTTGAACACACAATGATGAATATTCAAGTTTACAAAGTGTGAGGGCTGGTGGAAAGCATTCAGAGCACACAGAGGTTCTCTCTCCAGGATGAAGCCAGATATGTTGAGAATGTTTTCTGAAGGTTTCTCAATAGAAATTGCACTCACCGGATTTCTCTTCAGAATGGAGTTGATAATGTCGAGTGAGTTGTGAGGGTCGGCTGAAACATTTCCCACACAGCTGACATTGGAAAGGCCTCTCCTGTGCATGAATCCGATAGTGTTGAATGAGTTGTGAACTCCGACTGAAGGCTTTGCTACAGTCGCAACACTGATGGGCTCTCTCTCCAGCATAGTCATGTTTCCGCTGATAGCGAATTAAATATGTCTTTTTGCTGGGCAACCCAGGTGGAAGGGCTTCTGCTGCCTTGTGATCTTGGAGATGCTGAAAAAGATGCTCATCCTGGATAAAAGCTTTGCCGCACTGGAAACATTCATAGTAGTCTTCCTGACTGTGAATTCTCACAGGGCCACGCACGCTTGTGCGCTGAATGAAGGACTTTCCAGGGGACTTGTCACTGGAATGAGCTCCAGGACGTCTGGTGAGGTATGGCATGAGGCAGAGGGCTTCTCCACACTGTTTACTTTCAGAGGATTTCTTGCCAGTATGGATCTGCTCATGTCTACTATGGGCCATTTTGGTACTAAAGGTTCTCTTGCAAAATTCACATCTGTTGATTCTGGTCTCTTGGAGGAAAGGCTTTTTGACCACTGGTGGGGCACTGATGCGAATCTCAGGATCAGCACATTCCTGAGGATCTGCTCCTAGAGGGCCTGCTGATTGTTTAGTAAGATTTGAACTTCTCTCAAAGTCATTTCTGTCAAGGCTTCTTTCTTGAGTGAGGATCACTGTTCCAAGGCTCACAGGTTTCTCTTTGCTGACCTCACATGAATCCAGAGGATCAGCAGAAGACTTTCCTGTGTGTCCTACATGCCAGAAGTTACCTATTTCCAAATTCTCCATTCCTGCCCCCAAGGATGATTTTTCTATATGCTGGCTTTGCTCTGGAGTTAGATCTTTGGTTTCAGGTCCTTTCTCCCAATCTAAAAGAAATGTAGAAGTTCCTCTACTCTTTTTACTCACATAGGTACATCATTATAGCAGAAACAGAAGAAAGGGACCAAAAATAACAGGACAGATCTTATGGAGATTGGGAAAGATTTAAATGTTTTGCTAAAAGTTTGCATTTTCTTTTAGGAAAGTAACAAGCTGGCCAAAAGCTTGTGCTTTATAAAGGCAACTGACTGGGTAGGAAATAAACTGAAGCCAAGGAAATTAAGTATTAGATTGTAGCTTACAAGAGACAATAATGAACACAGTGGTCACTTCCCAGCAGACACTCAAAACTATGTGAACAGGGTGCAAAAGAAATAGCAGAGTGAGAAAACAGACGAGTAAGGCATCAGGAGAAGGGGGCAACTGGACCCAACACAGTGGATTCAATTTTTTAAAATGGTCTTTGAAAAAGTCCTCACTGACTCCTGTTTCCTTGCCCTGCTGTAGGACCAATGTTCCAGCTTGTTCTGTGAGGTCCCCTTTCAGAGAATATACCACAATCCTAAGCACCCTATGACCACTGCTCTAGCCTCCATCAGCTTTGGCCTGGCCAACTTCTCAGCCTCCCTGCTGGTTCCTCTGCTGTTCTTTCCAAACTCCATTTTTCATGGACCAGCCAGAGGAATCTTTCTAGAACAGAGCTGCCCAACAGAATGCCCTGGAATAATGTAAATGGACTACATTTTTGCTGTCTGATACAGCAGCCACTGGCCACATGCAGCTAATGAGCACTTGAAATGTAGTTGGTGCAAGTGAGGAACTAAATTTTATATTTTATGTAATTCTGATTAGTGTAAATTTAAGTAGCCATGTGTGGCTAGTGGCTGCCACAGCACATAGCACAGTTCCAAAGTGTCAGTAATACTCCCTCATTTCCTGGCTCGAAACCTTCGACACCTTTTTCACATCTCAGTCGGAACAAGATCCACATCCCTTAATATATCTCTCCCGGGGCTGGCCCATGTCCATTTCTGCAACCTTGTCTCCTATCCCCTCCTCTTCACTCAGATCAGATCACTTTTCTTCCCGTTTCTGAAACACCAGAGCTCATTCCAACCTCAGGACACCAGAGCTCATTCCAACCTCAGGACACCAGAGCTCATTCCAACCTCAGGACTTCTGTATTTGCTATTCCCCCTGCCTGCAACACTCTTCCTCAAATCACTACCTGTCCCCTCTTTGCCTCATTCACATTTTCCTCTCTGAGTTCTTTCTTGACTCTCCTATCATAAGTAGCCTCCCAGGTTACTCTCTCTGCTGTACACTCATCTTCTATTACTTGTCTCTTTACCCATCACCAATCACCTTCATCGACCACCAGCACCATGGAATGTCTTGTCTGCTACTGTATCCACAGAACCTGAGACAGGGCCTGGCCCACCACAGAGGCTCAATAAATATCTGTGGAATGACTGACAGAATCAAAGAAGGGATGAACAAATTAAAGATGAGAAGACAATGAAGGAAACAGAGAGGCAGGTAGAAGAAGCCCCTTGGTCATTCCTGAGTTTTTGTTTGGGCTCCCACTTCTCCACCCACCCAGAGAAAGGCAGGAGCATTGTGTCAACTAGCACCACACTGGGCACAGCTACAGGTTCAGGAGTGGGATGTGGCCCAACATGGAACACTGAGAAATGAGGAGGGTGTGTCAATAGCTTCTAGGCAAAAAGCTTCCTCACTCTTTAGAAGGCTTCTTAGACACCTGCTCTCTCTCATGCTCTCTTTGGACAGGAACAAAAAGTACATCTAGAATTTGCTGGCAGAGTGAACACAGAAAATGAAACTTTGTCTAGTAACGTCACAGAGCCCCTATATCCAATCATCCCTGAAAGGCCAGCACTAAAGCTAATCATCCCTCTATTCAGGCCAGTTTGGGTGTGGTTTTCTACTGATAGCAGCAGAAGGACAACCGCGATCCTGGCTGACTCACATGAGGATCCAACTTAAAGGAGAGGATTTCATAAAGATGGTAAACATTACCACACTGCAGCCATAGAGTTTGGAGAAGGTAAAGTCTTTAAGGTTCTTATCCTCATTAGGGATGTTTTGGGGAAGTTGTACAGTGAGGGAGAGAGAGATGGCAGAGATAGGTGATGGAAACCAGGTTGTGGGGTGAAGGAGGGAAGGGGGAGGGAGCTTCTGGGTGTCAACAAGTCCGAGGAGCAGGAAGCAGCAGTATCACACTGTGATTTTTGGCTGGTCTCGGTTAAAGAGGAAAGACCTATGATTTCCGGCTGCACGAACAAAAGGCCTGGCTGAACGGAGGGCTTGGGGCACTAGAGAAAAGGGAAACTGACTTCCCTGGAGCTGGGCAGGGTGGAACTCATGCTGCAGGAAGAGATGAGCTTCAGAGATGAGAGGAAAGTAAGTACCAAGCACACAGAGGTGGTGATGCCTCTGAAGCCCAAGGTGAGAGCACCTACTAGCCTTCTCCCTGATCTGAATGGGCTTTGAAGAATGTTTCCTCACTATCAGCTCCTGACCCCTCCCTGGACTGACTGGGGGTGTTGCTGTCCCACCCTGTCAGTCTCTATGAGCTTACCCCACCCAACTCACCTGGACCTGTCTCTGTAGCACTGTCTTCCTGCATTGCACGTGACTCCTCCTCCTCCAGCTGTGAGATGACATCGGGTTTAGAGAACTGGTACCCTGCGGAAGAAAAAGACCTGTGACTTAGGGATTTTGTACTGAACACAAAGCACCTCCCAGCCTGGGCTCTAAAGACCGTGATGATAAGGAAGATTCAAATTCACACAGAAGAAAATGAAGATTGTTTCTAACAAGTGTGTCCCTGAGAGGTCTTTGGCCATGTCTGGAGACATTTTTGTTGTCACAACTTTCGGGGGAGGAAAGGGTGCTCCTGGCATCTAGTAGGTAGAGGCCAGGGATGCAGCTCAGTGTCCTGCAGTACACACAACATCCACACAACACAGAACGACCTGGCCCAAATGTAAACAGTGTCAAGGTGGACAAACTCTGCTCTACAGTAAAAACTGAAAAGGGGGCTTGAGGGCAGTGTGTCTGCTCTCCTTCAGCACGGGGATCTGATTTTGGAAATGCTCAAAAGGGAACAACATAGGGTTCTTTCCCTCCTGTGATAACTTTCATTTCCCTTGGTTGTATAATGTTTCTTCCAATCCCGACCCACCCCCTACTAGTTCTGTGTTTCCCCAAACTTCCACCATTTGCATACATTCTGCTATGGTCCGAATGTTCGTGCTCCCCCCATCTCAGACTTCATTTGCTGAACTCCTAATCTCCAATGTGGTGGTTTCAGGAGATGGAGCCTTTAGGAGGTTCGTAGGTTATGACAGTGAAGCCCTCATGAATGAAATTGGAGCTCTTACAAAAAAGGCCTCAGCCCTAGCTGGTGTGGCTCAGCGGAATGAGTGCTGGCCTGCAAACCAAAAGGACAGTTTGATTCCCGGTCAGGGCACATGCCTGGATTGTGGCCTAGGGCCCTGGTTAGGGGAGTGCAAAGAGGCAACCAATCAATGTATCTCTTGCACACTGATGTTCTGCTCCCTCTCTTTCTCTCTCCCTTCCCCCCTCTCTCTAAAAATAGACAAATAAAATCTTTTTTTTTTTAAAGAGGCCTCACAGGGCTCCCTAGTCCCTTCCAGCATATGAGGACACAATGAGAAGTCTGTGACCTGGAGGATAGTCCAAGAGAAGTCTCTTTCTCACAGCTTACTGAAGGATTACTTCATGCTGTCCATGTACCACCTAAAACAGTCTTAACTATGACCCACTGTACTCATATCGCATTTGGGAAAGCAACCTCCTGGGTAATACATAAGGACTCTACTAACCTCAGACTTTTAGTGATTCAGGAAGCCAGAAATGGCTCCAGGTCACTGCATGAGTGCTAAAGGTAAAGCTGACTTATTTTGCCTAAGTCATAAATGTGGTAACTGAGAGAAGAGTTATGTTGGAAAAGGCACTCCGTTGTGCCTTCTTTGTGACCATTAAACATTCAAATCACACACCCTGGCACCAGGTGTGAAGGCAGACATGAGAGAAGGAAGGCACTTCTCTCTCCCCACATAGGTCTCTGACTTCACAAAGATAAGAGGACCAGCCCTACTGTTGGCAGAATGGTGTCTGGATTTGATTTTGTTTTTCAGGAGAACTCAGGCCCCCCAAAAAGCCACTGAAAAGAGTATCCTTGGCCCTGGCAATGAAAACATTTAGCTTGTGGAGAGAGGAAAACAACCATGCCTCTGGAAGTGAAAAGAGACCGGCAACCTCTGACTCTTACACATCAAGGCCAGGAGAAGCCTTTGGAACTCCTGGAATTTTCAGCAATTCCTTCATCCATTCAGAAAACATCACTGTGAACCCTGGCAGCCAAGGATAGTGGGCTGGAATGTGCATGCATGAACAATGACAACTTTAGTAGTTAGTGGGGGTAGTAGACACCATTGAGTGAACATGTGTCTTGTGTGGCCATTGCATTTAAAATGACTGAGCAAGTAGGGCGACAAGCCTGCATCGGATTTTGCATTAAGCTTGAACATTCCCCCACAAAAACTATTTGGATGATTCAGAGGGCTGTGGCAACTGGTGATTGGCAGCTTTATCACAACAATGTGCCCACTCAAGCATCATGTCTCATGCAAGCAAAACATCAAATCTCCCTTGTTACTCAGCCCCCCTACAGCCCAGATTTGGTGCTCTGTGACTTCCGGCTTTTCCCCAAACTAAAATCAACATTGAAAAGGAAAAGAGTTCAGACCGTCGATGAGGTTCAGGAAAATACAACATGGCAGCTGATGGCAATTGGGAGAACTGTGTGAGGTCCCAAGGTGCCTACTTTGTAGGAGACTGAGGCATCATTGTCCTATGTACAATGTTTCTTGTATCTTCTTCAATAAATGCCTCTGTTTTTTGTAGTAAATGGATGGATACTTTCTGGACAGACCTCTGATCTGGGTTGAGACTCACAGACCACTGTGACTCACTGTGAACCACTGTGACTCACAGAAGGACAGACAAGAGTTGAGCACTGTGCCCTAGTTCCAAGGAGAAAGCAGACTCACCTAAGGAGACCAGGTTCTGGTAATTCTCCAGTGTAACCTCCCGGTAGAGGTTCCTCTGAGCAGCACTAAGAGAGGTCAGTTCCTCCAGGCTGAAGTCTACAAACACATCCTGGAAAGTCACCAACTCCTAAAACAACAAAAACAATCACAAATGCTTAGAATCCAGAAATTATCCCAGGGAGTGGGGAAGGAGCCTGGTAAGAGACCCTGAATGTAAAACTGACATTTAGACCAACAGAAAGCTTCTAATCTGGAGGTTACACAGACATGATGATGTACCTTTATCTTGTAGTCTGAGAGAAGGGAGAACATTTTAAAGACAGTTCCTGCAGCTACTTACTACAAATTTGGCTTGGAGGATACCTCAGCCTCAGGAATCAGAGCGAACTGAGCTAAAATCCTGGCTCTGGGTCTTTCTTATAAGCTTTGTGAGTGTGGGTTAAGTCTCAGTGACTCATCGACAAAACATAAACAGTTCATAAATATGAAGGGATATTCAATCTTATAAATAAACAAGGAAATGCAAATCAAAATAACAAAGTACCAACTTATACCCACTCAACTGACAGAAATTAAGAAGTCTGACAATAACAAATATTATCTAGAACGTGGACCCCCAGGACCTCTTATAAGATACTAAGGGAGCCTTGGCCAGGTAGTTCAGGTGGTTAGAGCATCCTCCTGATACACCAAGGTTGCAGGTTCAATCCTGGGTCAGGGCACATACAAGAATGCACCAATGAATGCATAAATAAGTGGAACCACAAATCAATGTTTCTCTCTCTCTCAAATCAGTAAATTAAAAAATCAATTAAAAAAACTAAAAGAAGAAGATGCTAAGGAAAATGAAAATCAGTAAGCCACTTTGGACCGAGAAATTCTGTTCCTAGGTATACTTGCTCATGTGTACTTAGAGACAGATATGTTTATAACAGTGCTATTTGTAACACCCAAAACCTGGAAACAACCCAAAAATCCATTTATAGTAAAAGGGATAAATATATTTTAATATAGTCACACAATAGAATAATATTCCAGGATTAGAAACTAATTAAGTACAGTTCCATACAACAATGTGGATAACCTAAGGTTGGATTTGAAAAGAAGATATTAGAAGACTACATAAGTGTGCAGTCTTAATAAAATGTGATACCCATTTTATTAATATTCATCTTTTGTGTTTTCAGGGAAACAATATGCAAATCAATGAACATATGATTTACACTAGAGGTCACGGACTGGCTGCCCAGCTCCTACTGAGGGTTTATTTGGCTCACATGGGTTTTTAAATCTTTTTTAAAAATTCATATTAGCTGAAAGACAAATGCCATATGATCTTATTTATATGTAGAATCTAATGGACAAAATAAACTGATGAACAAAATAGAACCAGAGGCATGGATACATGGAACAGACTAACAGCTGTCAGAGAGGAGGCAAGAAGGACTGGATGAATGAAGGTGAAGGGATTAGCTAAAGAACAGATATGCATGACCCATGGACACAGACAGCAGTGTGGAGATGGCAAGAGGGGATGGGGTGGGGGCTGGGTGGAGGTGGGCAAGGAGGGGGGGAATGGGGACATTGGTAATAGTATAAATAATAAAAATAAAATAAAAATGATTTGGCCCTGGCTGATGTGGCTCAGTGGATTAAGGGCTGGCCTGTGAACCAAGGGGTCGCCAGTTGGATTCCCAGTCAGGGCACATGCCTGGGCTGTGGGCCAGGTCCCCAGTAGCGGGTGTGCAAGAGGCAACCACACATTGATATTTCTCTCCCTCTCTTTCTCCCTCCCTTCCCCTCTCTAAAAATAAACACATACATAATAAAAAAGAATTCGTATTAGTCACCACCACAGAAAAATTTGTACATTTCATATTAACTAGCGTTTTGGCTTCCCTTTACAAAATCAGAAGACCTGGGCCCACATTCTCACATGGCATCATCAGTTCTTCAACTGAGTCACAGCTGCCCTTTGGTGGGGCAGGTACTCCCTAGTTGGTCATAATCCACCCATTTATAAATACCTTGTTTATATTACCTCAGCAGCTCCTGTGGGCATCTCCACTTAGGATCCCTGAAGTGGACGCTATAGGAGCAGAGGGCCACTCTAGGAGCATGTCTTCTGGAACAGTGATTCTCTACCTTTTTTTCCACATCTCTCCTTCAGGGAGCCTCCTTAGAAAGTCTTTTCCTAATCACCACCCCCCCATGAATTATTTCTGGTTCTAAAGGAAGAGCAATGTATTATTTTCATTAATTGCCCTTGAGGTTTCAAAATGTAATTGAATAAGCCCTAGCCGGGTGGCTGAGCTAGCTGAAGCACCATCCTGAACACCAAAAGGCTGTGGATTCAATCTCCATTCAGGGCCCATACCTATGTTGTGGGTTCAATCCCTGGTCGGGGCATGTACGAGAGGCAACCAATCAATGTTTCTCTCTCTCCCTTCCTCTCTCAAAAATCAATAAACATATCCTTGGGCGAGGACTTTTTAAAAAGAAGTGATTGAACAAGAACATTAAGGAGTGTGTTTTTTAAAAGAGGAAAACCTCACAACAGTATCACATCCCTGTAGTAGCTGTCATTTGTTCCATATGGAAGCATGAGCATAATAATAGTGCAAACCACAAGGACTGATTTGAATAAGCCAACAATAAAGATAAAATAGAATACAAAACAAACAAAAAAACTAATTCAAGTGGTAAAAGGGGAAAAATGTTAGCAATATAGTATGGGGGATAGTGGTAAGTACAACAGAGAAAAGTAAAGCCACATAGGGGCATAGAAGAGTCAGAAAAAGATTTTACACAGGGTAGCCAGGGAAAGGCATAGTTACATGACATTTATGTGAAAACTTAAAGAAAAAATGTGGTTCAATTTGATAAGGGAAGGTTCAGAAGTCAGGAGGGTGAGATCCTCGTACTAGAGAACCAGGTTTGAAGAAAGCCTGACTCACCCGTGTTCCAGCAGATGGCAAAGTGTTAGATACATTTGTGTCTTCCTTTTGTGGTTTTTTGGTGTCCCTCTCTTCTGCAAGGACAGAGTCCTGATGAGGAAAACCTAGAAGAAGAAAGGAATGATCACAGAATTGGGTCCAGTCTGGCAGTAACCACAGGCTGAGAGGCCTGCCACCCCGACAGCACCCTATCCTGCCATGTGAGGCAGTGGCAGTGCTGGACTCCTATGATGATACAAAGACCATAGGAATCATTTCCCACCTCTAACCCCTTTGATGGTCCCCCAGGGTCTTCCAAATAAAGTGGAAGTTCCCTCTGTGTCAGTGGTTCCCAGTCTCACTGTATACTTAAAATCACCAGGGAACCTGTTTCTCAACTGTAAAATGTAAAAACTTTTATTTCTAAAGCCTCTTAGTAAGGATTAAACATTACAGTGTAAAGCACACTGTAGGCATGAAACACAATAGTGGCTCTAATTAAGCTTTCTCTATGTCTTTTAAATTGACTGATCTAGAAGGCAGTCACCACCTTCCTTGCAGAAACCTGAACCTTGAAGGTCTTCCTTGCCTATATTGTCTTTCCAAGGGCACCTTGCATTAACCTGCTGTTTCTTTCTCCGATCCCAGGAGCTTTCTTTCCTTTCCCCGGAATTCAGCTCCATCAATAGCTCTGAGCCTTTAGCCGTTTTTCACCTCTCTTGGACAAAATTCCCTACGTCCCCCAGAGGCAGTGTAACACTGTGATTAAAAGTACAATGGCTGGAATCCTGCCAATTACTAATCTTGGAACTGTGGGCAAGTTATTCAGCTTCTTTGTGATGTCTGCTTGTCTACAGAACAGGAGTAATACCTATAGTTAACTATCAGTATCTTCAAAATTCTTTTAAGAGAATGTAAGTGCACAGAACTGGATTAATCATAATCCTTTATTTCATGATATGACATCAACATTTATTTTAAATTTACTCATTTATATTTTTAACTATAAGGCCTATGAATCCACTACCCAAACCCCAACCCAAAGTGAGGACATTTCCAATTAACTTATATCTACGCAAGAAATTTTTCCTGTCCACATCCCAGCCTTATCCCCAGCTATGGTCTTGAATTCATATTTATTGTTCCTTTGCCTCTTTCTCTCTCTTATATACACATATATATTATATGTAATATCTATCTATATATATCCCCAAATAATTTTAATTGGTATCATTTTATTCAAAGGACTGTGAGGAGTAAATGGCATTCTTCTCTCCTTATTGAAATGCCCTTAATTCTAATCTAGTAACTTGAGTAACAAGAGACCAAATTTTAGCAGAGATTAAACTTCTAGGACTCGTGATTCCCACATTTTATGCCCTGCTTTTTTGGCTGGGTATGTTGTTCTGTTTTGTGGTGACACTAAAGTTTAGGCTGGATAAGAAACATGAGGAAAGTAGGACAAAAACCGGAGAGAGGGGTATTCTTAGAGAAATAAATATTAAAAGCAATATCCAAACCCAAAAATTTCTTCCATGTTGCACAAGGCAGATTAGAAAGGATTATAAAATTCATCCTTTCACTCATTCAACACATTTTTGTTTAGCTCCTATTACATGCGAGGCACACAGCAGATGTTCAATAAATGGAAATTGCCAGTGGCTTCCTTTCTCTCTTACCTTCTTCCTCACATGCTCGGATCAAGTTTGCCACCAGGGTTCCTGCCTCCTTGCTATTCTTGGGTCGTTTTGATCTCACCCATGTCTGGACCTCATCTGGCAGGGTGTTCAAAAACTGCTCCAGCACCAGTAGCTCCATTATTTGCTCCTTGGTGTGAGTCTCTGGTTGCAACCACTGAAAACAGAGCTCCCGAATTTGGCTCACAGCTTTGTGAGGCCCGGTCACTGACAGGGACTGAAAATGCCTAAACTTTTCATGAGAAATTTTCAGGACTGCTGGATTTCTTATGGGAATGGTTTCTGGATCATGCATATAAAAGAGCTGAGGTTTCCTCAAGATATCCAAACCCTGTGTCATGTGTGGCATCTTTACAGCTTGGCCCTTTGCAGCAGAATGGAGATACTTGAAAAGGCAGGCTGCTCCAGAACACACTGTTGTGGAAGATTTGTAGCAGATGAAGAAAGGATATAGAAACCTCAGGACCTGCAGAAATTACACAGAGAGACAAATGGCCTGCATAGTTAGGACTGAACAGTGGGGTACAGGGGATTTGAAGCAAAGGGATTTAGCTCATTTCACACAAACATATATTTAGAGAGATATGCACATCTACAGATATCATGCTGCCTCAGTCCTATTCCCACGTCTAGAACATCCACAGGCATAGGCTAGAAACATTTCAGATATGGCATTGAAGGGAAAAGACACTTGAATCCAAAACCACAATGAACTGAACAAATTTGATGAGCCACAGAGGAATTTCATTTCAAAATATGATTTCAAACAACTATATAGTATTATACGGAATAAGGAAAGATCCTTACCACACATATATCCTACAAAGGACTGGATTCATATGCAAAATACACAAAGTACATACAAATCAACAAGAAAAAAGCAGACAAAATATGAGCAAAAAGGTTAAAAGATTTGAGCAGGTACTGCACAAAGAAGATAGCTAAATGGCCAACAGACGTATGAAACAGGGCTCAACTTCACTAGTTATCACAGAAGTATGAGTTAAAACCCCACACCCTCCAGAATGCTCAAGATGAAAAAAATCAGACAATAGTGTTTGAGAAGAGACAGGGCCACAATAGAATGACATATGCAAGCAGTGGAACTCAAAACAATTGAGAACATGGATGGATCCTGCAACTGAGTGAAAGAAACCAAGCTCAAAAAGACAAAACAAAACAAAACAAAAACAAAAAACTACATTCAGTGATTCCATTTATGTAATAGTCAAAAACAGGCAAAAACATGTCTAAAGTGTTGGAAGTCAAAATAGTTACTGCTGGAACTGGGGGGTGCAGTGGTAAGCCTGGGAGGAGACAGTGTAAGGGGCTTCTGAAAAAGCTGGTAATGTTCTATTTCTTAATCTATGAGCACATGACATAGACACATTATGCTCACTTTGTGAAAACTGAGTTCTACACTTAGGATTTGTGACCATTTCTGTATGTATATTTCACTAAAAAAAATTTAGCTGTTATAGTTGTGGGGAAACATCTAGGTTATAGTAGTAAGTGGAAAAAAGCAGGAAACAAACTTGTACATAGACTATATGCTTAACCATATAAAGCACAGGAAAAGACACTGAAAAGTAAACCAAAATACTGCACCAGGGGTTTATTTATGAGTAGTGAGTTTATAAGGGACTTTTACAAAGGACTTTGTATCCTCCCTCAAAACTATCTTCTAATTTCAAAAGTTCTACAATGAACCTTCATTTCTTCTACAATCAGAAAATAAAATATACTTTTTAGTATTATAGAAAAGCTACATTCACTCTATGAAACCACAAACAAAATTGTCATTCGGGGAAACATTTTTTTCCTTTTCTCCTCCCCACTGAAACATATATGTTATTTCTATGATGCATCTCTGTTTGAAGGCATTTTTGTTCTTCAGTATTATAAATTATAATGCAGTGAACATCACTAAAACAAAAGTGTGTATTTGTCTATGTCCCTGATACTTCCCTTTCAGGATAGATTCCTCAAAGTGAAATTATCTAGACAAAGGGTATAAACTTTTTAAAAATTTCCCTTTTTAAAATTTTTATTTCTATTACTTTTTTATATTGAGGTATAATTGACATACAACATTATATTAGTTTAAGGTGTACAATGTAATCTTTCAGTATATGCACATACACCCTTATTTTGAAAGACAATTTTATTAGATATATTATTGTAAGTTGACACTTATTCTCAGCAAATTATGCGTCTTTTCCCATTTTCTCTATTATCGCATTATGGAGCTTTCATAGATATTCATGGTCTCTTCTATCGTTCCATACTTCTATTTAATAATTTTCCATATTTTTGTCTTTTCACATTGCATTGTGTATAATTTGTTCATATTATTTTCCACTTCACTAATTCTTTCTCTAGCTGTATATACTAAATTTTAGTGGCTCCATTTTTCATTTCTAGAAGTTTTATTTGGTTCTTTTTCTAATCAGGCTAATACTTTTTGGTAGTCTTTTTCCTGAAAAAAAAAACAACCCTTCAAATACACCTTCATATTCTTTAAACTTAGTATGCTTATTTTGTATCCCATTTCTAATAATTTCAATATCTAGTCTGCAGGTCTGGTTCTATTGATTGTTGTTTAAAAAATTTCTTAAAACAATATGCCAAATTTTCTTCCCAAAGGCTTCCACCAATATCCTCTTTCAATCTCAATATATGAGATTATACATCTGCCTTGCTGGTTAATGGGGCCAGCTTCATTGGCATATGAACTACAGTCACACAGGTTCTATGCTCAGAAAGGCCTCAAGCTTAGTTTAATGCCCTGCTGTTTCTGTTTTGAGATTCTCCATATTTTACTGACCAATTATAAATTGTTCCTACCCCTTCCCCACTAGCGTGTTTGAGTTACTGATTGGTAAAGGCTCTATATAAATAAAGGGTATTCCTATTTCCTAAAAAAACTTGCAGCCATGCAACACTTTCTTTAAAGTCTTTGCAGAATTTTAATATTTTGAAGTACAATTTATCACTATCCAGAGACCCATTAAACATTCAATTATGTATTTATTGCTTTGTTTGAACATTTCACTTTAATTCTTCAGTTGGAATCTAGCCTGTGGTAGGGTGTGAGAAGAGACTATTTTTTTTCCTAAAAACTTTCCTGCCACTACCAGATATAAATTTGCTATCCCTTCTTTCTTAAGATAATGGTGCCCTTTGGAATTGAGTTTCTAGGTCTGTAGCCTCCAGGGAAGAATTCTGAGAAAGGAATATTGGAAATGACTCTGAAATCTTGCCAAACTGCCTCCCTAGACTAGCCAGGTCCAAGGACAGAGCAGGAAGTCACAGTTCTTTCTGGCCCAGAGAGGGAAAGTATGACCCTGAACAGTCAACAGCCCTCCAGAAAGGAAGCTCACGGCCCTGTCGCTTCTGAGAGCGCTGTCAGCATCCCTCCATTTCTCTTTTTCATAAATTCTTTAACTGTCTGCTTCCCTTTTATTTTTGTCTTTTGAATCTCAGCAAGAGGAAGGGAGCAAAGCAAGGCAGGGCAGAGTGAAGGGGCAAAGCAGAGGAGTGGGGTGAGAGAAAGAAGAGTAGGAAAGAGGGGTGGGGCTGCGACAGGAGGGGCGTGGCCAGCAGAGGGTGAAGACACAGAGGGGGACAGACTGAGGTAGAGGAGGAGGATGAAGAGAAAGGCGGGGCAGAGCTCAGGGAGAGGAAGGGGGTCCACAATCGTGACAGGGGGGAAGGACACACAGAGGAGCAGTGGGACAGGTAGGAGAGGAGGTACAGGGTTGAGGGAGAAGAAGAAACAGGGCCTGGGAAGGGACTGAGAGGAGAGATGGGACTGAGAGAGAGAAGGCAGAGCCTGAGGGGCGGGGTGGAAGAGGGAGGGTCAAAGCGGAAACGAGAAACCACAGAACGAGGTACTAGATGAGTATTAGACTTCCGGGGTGACCACTTCCTAAGTTAGATAAATGCCTAATCACTGTTGTGCACCTGACATGAATGTAATAGCATGTCAACTGTGATTGAAAAATAAACTTAAAGAATAAAGTAGGTAGTAAGTTTTTACAAGAGGAGCATAAATGGCAGGTGCTGGCAGAGAAAAGGCGGCGCCAGAGCGGGCGTGCGAATGAGGTGGGGGAGGGGCGGGATGAGGGGTGCGGGTGGGAGAGAAGGTGGGATTGCTCAGGTAGAGGGTCAAGCTCGTTCCGGTCAGGGGGTCTGGGGGCCGGGGCTCGAGCGGCGGACCTGAGGTGCCCAGGCCTCAGAGCAGAGGAGGGGCCTGCGGGGAGCAGAGGCAGCCCCCGTGCCCCCTATCGCCTCAGGTTCCAGGGTCTCCTCAGGTTCCACGTTCGACCTGGGACAGCCCCTCCGCCCGCGCGCGGCCCTCGCTCCCCGCCGTTCCTCATGGCCCGAAGGCGCCCGCGTCGCTCCCCGCCCGCCAGGGCGTCCCCCTCAGGGCGTCCCGCGCCGCGCCCCGCAGCTCGGGGCTTCTCGCGCGCTCTGAAGGTGGCCCGGCCTGCCCGCGAGCTCGCCGCTTGCTCTCGCGTCCCTTCCGCCCAAGTCGCGGTCCCGCGCTGCCCGCGCGCCGCACACACGCCTGGCTGGATGGCCGCGCGCGCTCACCTCGTCCGCCGGACGCCTTCGCCTGACTGAGCCACTGGGCTTCGGACTTCGCGCCCAAACATGCGACGCATGCGCCGTGCCAGGTCTGTGCGTGCGCTCCGCCGCCGGCGGGAGCGCCGGACCTAGAAACACAGGCCTTTTCCGAAGGCTTCCAGTAGGGGGCGCGCGAGGCCGTGGCTGGACGGGTTGCCGAGCCGAAGGAACTGGGCGCTCCAGAGCTTCTCTCTTTAAAATGCTTTAAGATATGGCACCACCCAAGGGTTCAAACAACTAACCTTGGCCCTGATGGAAGCCCAGTGTGTCCAGTCTTTCATGGTGCAGCAACTGCCTCTTCTGCGCCTAGGGTAAGAATGTGGTTCTCAGTGCCCACCAGGGAGACCGCCTGTGGCGGATGTTCATACTGAGGCTGACGGTGACCAAGGTAAAGGGAACCCATGTCTGCGCCCCTGCTGCGAGTGGTATGAGACCCTGTACTGTCCTCAGAACCACCCTTTCACTCCATCCCCATCAAACTACTCCTGAGCTTTATTCAATCATTTGTTCTTTCTGTCCACAGGTGTTTATCAAACATCTCTTATCTCTGAGCACTAAAACAGGCTCACTGCATAATTATGTACAAAAGAAGCATCACAGAACTTACATTCCATTATGCAGACTGACAGTAAATGAGTGAACAAGTTAATAAATGGGCAATAATGTTCATAAAGTGTTCAGAGAGAAAAAGGTGTTGTGATAAACAACAAGAGTTGG